CTGTAGACTCAACAGCTTACACATCGAATAAATAAACTGGTAGCAGCTTAAAGGAGCCGTGCACACTTCTAGCAGGACCACAGGAAGAAAGGAACGGATTCATTTCAATATTCTAGCAAACTGAAATATGTCATTTGCAGTCCACACAAAAAAAGGTGGATTTCACATTTCACAGGAGGTGAATGATTCGAGGCTTAACTGGAACCCGAGTGACTCAAAAACAGCGTCAGTATTAATGTGTTGTTTCCAAGATGCTAAACCTGCCAGGAAACTTGTACTTTACAACGAGGGAGTCCTGACCGCAGCTCGGCTCGAACAATATGAGGAAATAACAGAAGCACGGGCAGCTTTTCTGTTTATGAAAGGTGACTTCTGGTAAGAGGCTGGCCGCCTGGAGAGTTCACATCTTCTGGGAGAAGCTTCATCTTACTGTCATTTAGTGTTGCAGGAAAACCAAGCTGGAGTTAAATGTTTGTGGCGTGTAACTCTGTGGAAAGGCAGCGTGAGTGTGTGCTGGTGTTTACCGGTGCTCTGGAAGACGCCTGGGTTGCAGTGGCAGTATCTCTGAGCAAAGGCCTCCATCATTCTGTCGATCTTCTGAGCTTCGCCGGGCAAACGGAAACTCCACAGGAACTGCCTGCAGAAAGCGGGTCAAGCTTTAGGTCGAGTCTCACAGAACAAATCCCGCAATCGAGCCGGAGCTCAGCGCTTCCCCCTCAGACCCGGGGCGGCCACGAGAGCGGGACTTTCCGCCGCCGGTCGGGTTTGTTGGCCGGAGAAAACCTGGATGCGATTCAGGAGAACAGCTTACCTGAGGGCCTGGACGAGGTTGAGATCGGTGAACTCGTGGAGGTCGACGAAGGCCTGCAGGACTTTGATGTTGAAGTCGTCCCTGCAGAGCAGCAGAGGTCACGTTAGGAGCAGCTCAGACTGAACAACAGCAACCAGGTTTAAAAACACAGCAGTCGGTCCAAACAGAAAGAAAAACCACCAGAGAGGCAACAGTAGAGACACAGAGGTCAAAGATTTACTAAATAAACTGATAAAACACCTCCAGGTAAAATAATAAAAACTTAAAAACACCTTATGTAGTTTAACTAAAGGAAAAGTGGAATAAAAGAAAATAGAGAGAACAAGCAGAAACACAGGGCTGGAGGTCACAGAAATAAACAAAAGACCATAGACCATAAAACAGACCAAAGGAGAAAAGAGGTGTGCAGTGAAATAAAAGCCAACATTCCTCCATAAACACCATCTAAAGCAGTATCTGTGTTTTAAGCATCCACATTAAATATAAAATCCACATTTTCTACTGATGGAAGAACCTGTAAACATGACAGATGTTTGTCCACATGTTGAGAAGTCTGCTGTAAGATCGTCATTTTCCACATTGAGAGGAAACAATTTCTACATTAGATTCATTCGATCACAAATCATCACATTCTTTCTGCTCCATCGTCTCTGACTTGCTTCAAATAAGGACATTTATAAACATATCTGTGAATTTTATATTGATTTAACTGTTGATTTATTTAAAAAACAAAAACCTTCAATGTGAGAAAAAACCTCAACAGGGAATTTTTATATTTTAATTTTATCTCAGAAAGTATTTGATAAATCAGTTTAAAATTTCACAAATATCTAGAAATATAAAGTTTATGCTATAAAAAATATAAAGTGAATCAGAGAAAACAGCCTCAGATTTCTATTTCAAAAACTGCTAAAAGTCAGGAATCAAAAAAATACATATATATGTACACACACTCAAAAAATATCTAAAAAAATGTCAAAAATGATTTGACATTGACATATGAAGCTCCAATTTGCAAAACGTCTTTATAAATATTCATATTTTATGGTGCAAAAAATGTCCGGTGAGTCAGAGACGACGGAGCAAAAGATCTGAGATTAAATTAATCAGCTTTTATCTTTAATAGTTCCTCAGATCTATTAAACAGATTTAAATGTGGAGAAACCTGCTGAAAGTGGGCTGACGGATTTTAATTTTGTTAAATTTAGAAACCAATTCATGAAGCTAAAAATTCAGAAATATCATTTTAAATATTTATAGTCGATGATAAAAACTAAACCAGACACGGTGGAGCAGAAGCTCCTGATTAAAGCCGTCTCAGGCGTCTGAACTCGCTGACCGTTCTCCGAGATAGTCTCCGATGGCCGTCTTGTTGAGCCCTTCTCCTTTGTACAGGAACTGAGCGATGTCCTCCGGTGTGTGTCTGAGCAGCTCGTTCTCCACCAGAAACATGATGCCCTGCAGAGAGCACACACACTCCGTCACCACAACACAGCGAGCAAACAGCCAGACGCACAAGCAGCCGCTCCACCGCTCGCTACCTTCTTTGGGTCCATGTTGAACTTCTTCCTCCCCATCGCCACGTGTCGGCTTTTCTGTAGAGTTTTACTGCAAAGTGGACAAAAGCGTTGATCAGAGCTGCTCGTCGTCACTCATCCCTTCATCATTTATACACTGTGTGCTGACGGCTGATCATATACAATAAAATCAGACAGTTACAGGAAGAGAATCAGATCCTTAATGACCAGCTGGAGGGAATTTCTCCATCCATCCTCCATCACTACATCACACTTTAACATAAAGCTTATCAGCAACTAAATGATGTATTGCTGAATTAACACGTTGCTCCTTTAGACCAATATTTCTGTCATGTTCTTTGTATCTCAGCTTTTTCCCAACATTTAAAAAGCTTCAGCGGTAAACACAGTGTGTAAGCTGATTTAGGTCAGTTTCTGTGGTTCAGCCTGTTACGGTGACAGATCCCACTCTGTCTGGAGCAGAGCTTAGGTCCCGTTACCTGCCCTCTGTGCTGGTCTCCAGGCCCTCCACCTCCAGAATCGCCTCCCTCAGCTCCTCCCTCAGCCTCTGGATCTCCTGCAGCAGGACGCCCTTCCTCCGGCGGATGTCCTCCAGCTCCGAGCGCTCCTCTGGGCTCAGGTCTACTGGGACTGCAGGGGAAGACAAGAAGAATGAGTCCAGGACCGCTGCAGCTGCAGATACGACGGGCTGCAGCCCGAAACAACCCCGGTCCAAAGCTGTCGCTAACGGCAGCACAAAAATGTGCTCAAAAGTTCACTGTTGCTCAAATATCCTACGATGGAAAAGAGTGGAGGGAGCAACAGGAGAAGCTAAAGCTAGCAGGGAGGTTAGAGAACATGGAAAGGCACCAGGTGAGGACACCTGGAAAGGTATTCTGTACTTTCAAACATTTAAATGTGTCCTTCTGAACTTCTAAACCCCCCAGAGGGTTTAAAACCAGTGGTATCAGAAAAAACAATCACCTCTAAAATCCTGACTACTCACCAAACTAAACTTTATTCTACATGTCGTATTAAAAAAACGGCCAAAACGTAAATCGTCCTCAGCTCAGCTGAGTCCATGAGACTCATGAGTCGGGTGTAAACCAGGAGAACTGAGCAGAGAGGAGCCGAGCAGCAGAAAGCAGTGAAACATCTACATCATGTGGAGCCTCCAGGTTGTCCTGACATGTTGTCACTTTAACAGCTTTAAATATAAATGTGCGGAAAAAACCTGTCGACGGGAAACTTTTAACGAGTATTTTATTCATGGATCTAAAGTATCACAGATGTCATTACTCACATATGTGCAAAACCAGTTTCTAAAAATGTTTTGTTTAATAACTTACAACCGTTTCTCTGCCTTTATTGCTGCATTTGACATTTTAAGCAAACAGTTACCGTTCTACATATCTGTATTTATAGAGTTTAAGATAATAAAAAAGAAGGAATAATCTGCATGCATTTACTTGTTTTTTTTTAAAGCGTAGCTGTCCTGGTTCATATCTTAATGGTTTCCTCTCAGTGTCTTTTTGTGCAAACCCGTTAGCATTCCTGCTAACTGAATGTTAGCGAAACGAAAACAAACAAAATTTCAATATTATATAATATATTTCAATATTTCTAAAACTTTCTTACTACAAATACGACACTGTGCACGAGAAGCTGCTGATTATTAGAAGCTTTGTTCATTTAAACCACTAAAATATTCTCGCTGTGCAATAAATAATAGATTGACTTGAGTTGTCTCCTGATTTGTCCATTTGTGTTGTGAACGGTTTTCACACACTCGCTGTGCAAAGTGAGTCACTGTGGACCTTAATTTATTATTATTCTATTTAATAAGGAGAATTCATCACCTGTGATCTGAGCTCAGTTCTGATGTGGACAGTTTGAGCAACAAGAAGCTGTTCAAGAGTCATTTATCAGCTGACTTTGGATAATTAATCCATCATCTCTACACCTTAATCTTCACTAGGGTCATGGGGGGCGGAGCCTATCCCAGCTGACTCAGGGTGAAGGCAGGTTCACCTGGACAGGTAACCAGTCTATCACAGGGCTACACTTAGAGACAGACAACCAAGCACACTCACATTCACACCTACGGACAATTTACAATCACCAATTAACCTCAGCATGTTTCTGGACTGTGGGAGGAAGCCGGAGAACCCGGAGAGAACCCACGCTGCACGGGGAGAACATGGAGACTCCACGCAGAACGATCCCGGGTGTCCTCACCTGGACGCCAACCAGCGACCTTTTAGCTGTGAGGCCACAGTGCTAACCACTGATCCACCTGCAGCCCTGCTTGTTTTTTAAATGTTTTTGAAAACTGTGCAAACTTGACCTGCTTGGACAACATATTCAGTGACTTTCTAAAATAAATGCAGGCGTGTAAATATCTCCTCAGCATTTGTGTTGAGTCATAATCCCATTTTATCCACTCGGCTCCCAGACCAGCAGACACACCTTCCAGCACAAAGGCAGGTTAATAATCAGGTCAGACTGAATGTAGGTCTCAGAGCTGAGGGAGCGCTGAAACTGTTCCAAGGAGCAAAGTTAAATCCCTGCATTATAACACATACATCTATAGAATACAAGATGTGCATTTATTTATATATATTTATTTATGGGATGCTTCATAAACTGGAGCTAGTCTAATACAAAAGTCCTACAATGAACCCTACATTCATTTGAATGAATGCAGTCTCCTTTTCTAAATGGTATTTTTCACAATAAAAGAAAAAAGCAGAAAAGAAAAACAGCACATGTGAGATTAGAACACAGCTAAAGGCTTAAAGACGGACATTTAACCTCAATATTCAGCACAAAAGTCATGAATCCACATTAATGAGGAAAAAAGCAACCAGAAGATTAAAGAAACGAGCAGAGAAAAAGAAAAGATAAAGAAAATCATGCCAATAAAATATATTCTCACATTCATCAGTAAAAAAAAAATAGTTTTTAAATCCCTGAAGATAATTGCTTAACTGTCAAAACAGCTGCTGACTAATATATTTGCGGACAACTAATAAATCGATCTGTGCAGCTGTACTTGGTTGATGAAGAATCACATCACTTTTATAGAGATTTATAATATTTTTGGTGGAAATACCTCCATGTATGTAAATTCTTCATCTGAACACAGGAACGGTCTTTATTTAGCTTCAGTGTACTTTGATTTTCTTGCTTCTTCCAGCCTCAGTTGTAGTGTATCTTATCTTGACTTTATACATATAAAATTACACAATATATATGTATATATATTCCTATTTTTAAGCCCTATTTGTCAGTGTAACCCAGTAAAATTCAACTGCACCACAACCTGCAGCCTCCAACTGAATCAAGTCACTCAGCCCACTAGTCTGTTCAATAACACGTTAATACCTTTTTTTGACTCTCACAGCTCATCAAATTTGCAAAAGCAGCAGATAAACAACAAAATGAGACAGTTTTCCTGCAGCTCTTCATGCTAACACTGGCCTATTTGAACCTGATAACTTTCAGACTGCAATAACAGAAATCTATCATTACTATTCTGAATAAAAGTACAGTTCTGCACATTCACTTGGGTTCATTGTTAGTGTTTTATATGCGTTTTTTAAAGCCTTATTGTATTGCTGGTGCTGAATAAATAAAGTTGATCTCATCTTATATATTCTAGGTATAACAGACTTTCGCTAAAATGTCTACTCATTGCTGCATTTGTCAAAAACAATCCCAATATATATAGTTTTTTTCATATCTTTGGCCTTATTTGTCAGTGCAATGCAATAAAATTCAGCTGCACCAGAACCTGCAGCCTCCACGTGAATCACCTCCGGCCTGATCTGCACATTACAGGCTTCATGCACCTGCAGGCTCCTTCACAGAGTCGATCTGTTCTGCACAAAAGCCCCGTTTCGGTGCATCTGAGAGCAGCAGCAGCTTGTTGGTCGGAGCCTCCCGGAGCAGCCGGTGTTTACTCTGCAGAACAAGCAGCTGCTCCACACCGGCAGCACCACGCCCACAGCTGGATCAGCCTGAATCACACCGCAGCGGCACCGCTAACGGCGCTAATTACAGGCTTTCGATGGGATAATTAATGTTTTACGAGCTGCGTGTAACCTGGAGGCAGGTTAAAGTGTTAAATGTCCAACGGCGCTAGCTAGAAAGTTAGCACAGTCCAGCAATCAATACTGATGCTAAGCTAACGCGCTGCTGTGGCTCGTTTTAACACGAATACAGTCATCATGAGCACCCATGTTTGGAAGAAGACCCCCACGGAGGGTTTATGGGGGATGATTTAAATGTACATGTTCCCCAGGAGGCTCAGCTGGTCACACCTGAGCTAACAAGCTAACAGCCTGAGCTAGCAGTCTGAGCTAGCCCCCGTTAGCCGCAGTTAGCCGGTGCTAATGTGTGCTCGGTAGTTCCACTTACTGTAGTCCAGGTCGTCCATCTTAGGCGCTTTGCTTTTAGGCATAAATAGTTCAGAGTCGACGGTCATCCAATGTCAGAAAAAAGCGGATATATGTGTGAATATATCCCCAGAAGCACAGCAAGAAAACACAAGCCCAAGTGTCGAAATGTTGAGGCCGAGACAAAGAAGCCGGAACCGCCGCCTGCCCGGACAGAGGTCAGCAGGATTTCAAAATAAAACCCCGACACGGTCAGGGACGTCTGGAGCCAGAACCACAACCAGAGTCCGAGTCAGAACCAGAATCTATCTATCTATCTATCTATCTATCTATCTATCTATCTATTAGACACAGAAAGAGAATGAACAGAAATAGAATCAGAACCAAAGACCCAGAATGAGAACGAGAGTCTATTATATATATTATATTCTATATTTATGTTATTTCACTGAATGAAGTGATTAGAATGAAACAGCAGAATATAACCAAATAAAACTATAAAACTCCAGACCAGGTCTACGCCTACAAAGTGGGTCAACTATGAAAAATACGTCTGTTTAAAAACAACCAACCAAATTTAAACTTTCCTACTTATATTTTGAGAGCCATGTTGAAACTCCAGAACTCTACTTGGATCAGACTTTCTACCAATATTTCTATTTTTGTGCTAAACGTCTCAAACCTGCTCCATCAGTTCTGAAAGTTGAACAAAAGAACTTTTCTCTTCATGTCTGTGACTCAGTGTTTCCTGTTAAAGTAGTGGTGTGGGTCAGAACCAGCACTAGTTCACTGCTGCTTTATCACGTTTTAGTTAATGAGCTCAGAGATGGAACTTTTCATGGCAGCTTCAGGTTTTCTTATTTTTCAACTCATCTATAATCAGATTATTGATCTACTGTCTGATAGTCCAGGTTCTGGATCAGTGACATGATGAGAACTAACAGAGAACATTTCAGGTTTTTATCTTTCATAGTTCCTCAGATTTCAGTGTGAGAACGAACCTGCTGACAGGCAGTTTTTTTTTTTTTTTTTTAAATAAATGTACCTCAGAAAACACTTAACAGGAAACTAAAAATTCATTTATCTTTATAAATATCCATAGTTTATGGAATAACATTTTTTCAGCAGATCCGTGACGTCCGAGCAGAAGGCCTTCGATGGTTTTAGCCAGAAGGTGTTGTAATATTTGTCAGTTGTCTTTCTCACCACATGGTGGCGCTAACAAATAAGGAGACACACAAACAGAGATGCATGAATTTGCTCCCAGACAAACGTATGAAGTTACATTTATTCCAAACCATATAGAACTATTACCTGTACATTGTATACGTAGATAATCTTCATTGTTTTTAGTAATAATTACATTTCATCCACTACAGACACCTGAACGGCACCGTCAGGTTCACGCCGTCTACGACACCATGGTCCCAGCTATGGACGCCATAGACGACGAATCTCCTCCACGTCCAGAGGAAACCTTCTGGCAATGACTCCATTCAACGTGTGTGTAGCTTCTTCTATTTGGTAATTAACAAGCCTAGACTCAACGTGTCGTCCTCACATTCTGGAGCTGAGTAAGCACAGTGTAATCCTGGTAGACTAGCTGCTTCGTGTGCTCAAACAAACAAACAAACAACAAACAAAGAGCAAAAATAAACATCCTCGTAGGCAAAAAAAAGTTTTACTCCATTTTCTGCAGTTTAAACAGTTCATGATCAACAGCCAGACTTACAGGCTTCATTTGTTTTTCTTGTAATCATACAAAGGCATTGATTTGTCCCAGACGTACAGTATGTGGACGGTTGGCACAACATCTCGCTGATTCGTACATTGCACATGCTAATGATTTAAACGTCGCCCAGATCCGAGGACGTCAGCAGGTTTTGATCAGAGACAGGTTTCTGCTGTTTGATTTTGTTCTTCAGATATTTGTGTTGTTTTTTTGTCACAGTGCAGCTTCCTCCTCGTCTGCACTGCCGGATTTTAGCGTTTTTTTTCTCTTAAGTGATTCTGTAAACAGTCAGTTCTACCTTTCAAAAAGCTATTACTGCAACGTTTAGGTGATTTCAGGCGGACAACGTAATGAAGTCCATCTATTGTTCTGCTAACTCTAGTGCGTCTGACTGCTCTTCAGCTGGATCTTAAAGCTCCTATGCGTCCTAGTGTTGTGGTTTCTGTGCGACTCCAGTTTCTGTGCAAAACAAATGCACGGCCTCCCACTGAACGGAGGCTCCTAGTTTAAAGACATGTTCTAGACGTACGACGGTGCCGAGGGCTAAGGCTGTGAATCTGGACTTTGAAAAAAGAAAAGAAACAGGCTAGAAGCACTGACGAAGAAAGCTTGTTCAGTCATTTTTTATGTTTAACAGGCTGCAAAAGCTGATATCGTTGACATCATCATCGTGCACCACTGGCTAAGAAAAGCAGGCAGATTATGCAGAAGCCGTGGTCACCGTTCAACGGCTCCACGGCCCTGAAAAGCTTGATCTCGCTGCTCTACTGGATTACTCGCTCGAGCAAAAGTGTCATTAAAGTGAACTGGCGGCCACATTTTGTGTGCGGCCGAGTGGCATGCTCAGAGATTGTTGTCATGTCTGATAGGTGGACAGAGATTAAGGAGGTTTAGGCTCCTTACGTAAGAAAGAAAAGGGCAAAGGTACAGCTGCACTGTCTAGTGTCAGATAAGGCATTCCTCTCAGGGACATTTGGACGTTGGCGGAGGTTAAAACAGGGTCGGATCTAGTTTTTCATGTTAAACAACAACGTGTCTCTGGATTTAATCTGATTCCATCTCAATGTAAGGCAAAGACCAGGTAGTGCTTCTCTGCATGCATACTACGACGTATACATCCAACACATGCACTATCGGCACTAACAAACACCCACAAACATTCGATTGTTCTTCCCTCCTGTCATCCCAGGCTGTGCAGTCGTCATGCTTCTCCAGCGGCTGTGCAATGAGGCGCATTTTTCATCCATTTTCAAATTCACTATTAATCCCTGCAGTCGTGCTCCGGTGGCGCGTGGCTCGGTGGGTTATCCCTTTCATTAATCCTTAGAAAAACAGTTTCTGCTATCCAGGCTATTTTCAGAGTGTCAGAGTATGGACGGCGACGCAGATTATGTAACTCAGTAGAGCGCTGATATGTCAATCGACCCGACCAATCCCTGATTAGAATCTGGTGATCTTCACCCCGGAGTCTCCGACGATGAGCCGAGCCATGGACGGATGAACCTGAAGCACACGGAGGGAAAAAAGAGCTTTAGCAGGAAAACCATGTGTCTAAACCGTGAGTGAGTGTCAACTGATTAACCGTCTGGACCACAAGACCATCAGATGATTTAATTTAAAGAAAAAGAAAAATCACCAAAATGAAAACATTAATCAGCAACTGTAGAAACAGAAAACGTTGTTGGACGACTCATGTGACAGGTGGTTCTGTCAGGGAAAAGACCCAAATCCAAGCTCAACATTGTGACATGTCTTCAAAATACCTTCATTCTTCTTGTCTCATTTAAAATTTCATGACAAATAAAAATTCTGAGCTCCTCAGAGCAACCAAATGTCCACGACTGACTCGGCTGTGACAAAAATTCAAGGTGTTTTCAGGTTGATATGTGCGACTGTGTCTGTCGGTGTCGTGCTGTTTCTAGAACAAGTTCCCTGAGGTACCCCACCAAAGGGATCAATAAAGTTCTATCTAATCTAATCTAGGTTGAACTGCAGGCAGTGTTTCCTCAGAGAGACACGATCAAACCGACTGGATCAATACAATAAATAGTCGTTTGTGGAGGTTTTAAACATGCAGACATGTGGAGTCTTCATTTAAAATAGAGTTCAGTCTTTTCTAGAGGACAGAAACTAAATGAGACACATGATTAAAGGTTTGGTCTGTTAGAGGAGGAAAGAAAGACGAAAATATTCACATTTAAGAAGCTAAACTCACAGAATTCTGACTCAGTTGCTTGATTATCAAAATATTTGATGATTAAATTCATCCATCCATCATCTCTACACCTTAATCCTCACTGGGGTCATGGGGGGCGGAGCCTATCCCAGCTGACTCAGGGTGAAGGCAGGTTCACCTGGACAGGTAACCAGTCTATCACAGGGCTACACTTAGAGACAGACAACCAAGCACACTCACATTCACACCTACGGACAATTTACAATCACCAATTAACCTCAGCATGTTTCTGGACTGTGGGAGGAAGCCGGAGAACCCGGAGAGAACCCACGCTGCACGGGGAGAACATGGAGACTCCATGCAGGAAGATCCCGGGTGTCCTCACCGGGACGGGAACCGGCGACCTTCTAGCTGTGAGGCGACGGTGCTAACCACTGATCCACCTGCAGCCCTGGACCTGACTAGTTAACACTTATTGATTCTGACTGAGTTTCGTCCACTTGCTAGACCCATCACAGATTTTCCCATATTCAGAACCAAACGCTGTCATCGTCTCCTCACCTGGGCCTGCAGCGGTCCGTACGGTACCAGCTCCCCGTCCACCGTAAGCGTTCCTCTGGCCGACAGCGGCTGCAGCCTGAAGGCCCGGCAGGTGACGTGGCTGACGTAGGGCGAGCTGACGGAGTGGTGGGTTCCCCGCTCCATGGCGAAGAACAGCCGCAGCAGCGTCGCTCTGGAGATCCCGGCCCGCACGAAGGTCAGGTGGATCAGCCCGTCGTCAAAGTGGGCCTGGGGCGCAGCGTGGAGGTCGGCCCCCAGGTGGGTCTGGTACAGGGCCAGCACCAGGACGAAGTCCCCCTCGATGGTGACCCAGTCTCTGGTGGGCAGCGGCTGGTCCAGGGGCGGCAGCAGGTCGTCTCTCGGCAGGTTCAAAGGCAGCGACACCAACGGACGGTTTTTAAGCGGTCCCGCTGGCTCGGCCAGGTCGAAGTTAAAGGACGAGGACGGCGTGCGCAGAGACGGCGACGGAGACGTGGAGTTGGGGGTGTTGGGTCGGGGGGCGAGGTAGGACGACGAGTGGGGGGAGGCGCAGGACGGGGAGGAGGGCGGCGTGGGCGACAGGGACAGGGACAGGGAGGGCAGCTTCGGAGGCAGGGAGTTGGAGTGGGAGTGCTGCAGCAGTGACAGGGGCCGCGGCCGCGAGGCGTTCTGGTTCTGGTCCAGAGTCTTGGGCTTGTAGGAGAAGGGCGAGTGGCGGAAGGGGGAGGAGATGGTAAGGGAGCGCTCCCGGGCCCCGTCCAGCGGGTATGACTCCTTCTGGTAGAAGGTTCCGTTCAGATCCACGTCCTCAACGCCGTACGAAGGCCCGGAATCTGCCTCCTGGCCGAACAGGGCGTTGGCGATCTGACTGGAAGGCGCCGAGTTCTTCCTCAGCTTCTGCCGGCTCTCCTGCAGCTCGTCCGGGTAGCAGCTCTCCGGATCCTCGTCGGCCTCCCGGCCCATGTCCAGCCCGTCGCGCTCGCCCAGCTCCCGAGCAGGCAGAACCCCCTCCCCCTCCACAGAACCTCCGTCCTTCCCGCGGTCCTCCTCCTCCATCTCAGCAGAGTCGGCCTCGTCCTTTATCCTCTCCAGCCTCCCGTCTCTCTCGCTCGACTCGGAACTGGTCCCGGACTTCTCCTCCTCGGCCTCCATCTCCACCTCCAGCTCGCCCTCCCTCTCGCGGTCCTCGGCCAGGCTGCTGGCTCTCACCACGCCGGTGCCTCCTCCTCTGGCTCTCTCCCTCCTCCTCTCCCTCTCCCTCTGCCTCTCCTCCTTCTCCCTCTCCCCCTCCCCCCGGCGGAGACTCCTCTGCTCGCTGATGCCCATGTCGGAGCAGGTCCGGTGGATGGGCGTCCTGCAGAAGCCCTCCAGGCCCTCGGTGATGCTGCGGGACAGCGGCCTCCTGGGCGGGGGCGGCGTGGCGTCCGGAGACGTGGCGACGATGGAGGGGGGCAGGTAGGACAGCCGGCCCTTGTAGGAGCGCAGGGAGGCGATGCGGACCAGCGTTCCTAAGGTGAAGCGAGCCGAGCCCAGACCCCGATACCTGGAGGGAGACGAGAGTTAAGCTACATGGCATGAAAAGGTTCTG